ATAATTCATTTACTCCCCTCACAGGGATTGGGCTTTTTAACCTGAAAGAGGGTTTTGTGATCATATTTTAAAATTAATCAGACTGTCAAATAGATAGGATTTAACTACTATTTATTTCTTTGAAACTGTTACTGATTTTTTTTTCAGGTGACATTTGCAGTTAGAACTCAGGATGATTAAGCGCTGAAGAGCTAATAAAATAATCACACATTTGTGTTATGGGAAAGGTGAATGTTACTTGTCATTAGTTGAATTCACACTGTCAGATACTTTAATAGGTGAAATTACTCAGCTCCTTTAAATTTGTCATACAGTTGTGTATTTATTTAAAATGGTTTTAAGACTATGTTAAATTTGAAATGTTTGTTTTTTGTCAGTTTTACAGTTTAGACAGGAATGAGCTCAATGAAGCTTCTACTCACCCACTGCAGGACCGAAGAGAAGCACACTGAAGCTTGAAAGAAGGAGAGCTTGGAAGCCCGACATTGTTGACCGAGACCTAAAGTGGGAAACCACAGAATAAGAACATTTTTCCTACAGCATTTTTTACATTACACTGTCAAGAGGCATGGTGGGGAGATGGTGAGTCACACAAAGCCACCACAGGGAATAGCAACTCCAATGATTAAAAAGGTTTGAAGTTGTGTTTGACTTACAATTAGGGCTGCCACAATTACGTCGACTATCAAAATCATCGACAACTAATTTAATAGTCGACGCATTGTTTGAAGCTTTGTAAATTCCCGAAAGACGCAGGAATAAGCAACAGGACTTCAGAGTTTAAAAATGGACCGAAACTGAAGATGGCAGCACTGGATGTACAAGGATGCCTGCTGCCATTAAACGCAGAAGAAGAAGAAGAAGCTGTGTCCAGAATCATAGCTGTGTCCAAATTCAGGGGCTGCATCTTTCAGAGGCTGCATTTGTAGGCCGATTACGTTACATCAACGCTACGAAGGCTGTCCAAATTCGTAGACTGCTCCAAATGCGTCCTTCATTTCCCCAGATTTGAAGGATGGGTCAGGTGTGTCCTTTGTGGCCCAACCTATCCCAGGATTCATAGCGCGACCCAGCCAA